AAGGCGTTCTCGCGGCCCTCCAGCCTGCGCATTCACTCGCACAGCCACACTGGTGAGAAGCCTTTCCGCTGCACACATGCGGGATGTGGAAAGGCCTTCTCTGTGCGCAGCAACATGAAGCGCCACGAGAGGGGATGCCACAGTGGTCGTCCTGTCGCGACTGTTGTCTAAAAATAAAAATAAAAATAAAAACAAAAAGAAAAAGCTCTGGTCGACTTCGATATCGGCTACAAACTATGATACCCCCTTCTTCCGGTGATTTCTGCTCTGGTTTGATTTGATTTTTATTGAGTTCTTGATGATACCCTTGTCTGTGTTCGATTTTTTTTTTTTTTTTTCATGTGTATATTTTTCACTTGTACATTCTTATTTTCATTTTTTATTTTTTCTTGGTGAGGAGCAGGATATCACTGGGTGAAAATGGGAGGAAATCAAAAAATGATGAGTCCAAGGACCGATTCATGTTGATTTGGGAATTGATGGTTTCCTTTTGTTATTTCTTTTGTTTCGATCAATCAATTGACGTGACATGACTTGAACTGAATACTTCGTGTTTGACTTTGTAGTCACTCGTAGACTATGAAACGCGTAAGACATATCTCAGTGAGCGTTATTGTAGTATTCTATAATCCTGAGTAGGGAAGTAACTAAACAACATCAGACGACGATTCAACACTTCATAAGTCTCATTTTCGTCAGGTATGTACAATACCAAGCTATAATAAATATACAGAAATAACAAAATACCATCCAAAGGCGAGTAATAAGAAACATACACCAGGTATCCAAAAACCAAACACATTACAAAACGAGTTTTAAGTAGAAACACCATGAACCCTTTGAGTAGAAGACTCAATGGCCCTCCCCTTCCCCTTAGCATTAGCACCGTGACCAGTCTTCACAGCCCGCAACCTCTCCACAACATGCCCAAAGTTCAACTGACTGTAGTCCGGCGGCATATGTTCGCCACTGACAATACATAGTACCCTCATACCCGGCTTATAGACCAATCCGCTGAGGAGTTTGGGCGTAATTAGGAAGTATTGGCCACCGCCTCCACCGCCCACGCTTTCATCGTTGTTACTGGCGGTTGTAGTGCTGATAGTGGTGGTGTGGGCACAGGCGATATCCACCAGGCGCTCGTGTACCATTCGCTCGTTGCGCGGATCCATACCTTGATTGATCTCGTCGACGACGCGGAATGGGGAAGCGGAGAGGGACTGGAGCGCCATTAAGTAGAAGATCGTGCTGACTGCTCTCTCGCCTCCGGATTGGCGATGCGAGTCGAGAAGTGAGAGACTCTCGTTTTCGCGGAATTTGACGTGGATCTGGATTGACCATTGGTCAAAGTCGCTGTCGCCCGCTGTCCCAGTTGTTGATGTTGTTAATGTTGTTGTTGTAGGTCTTTCGCCGTTCGCTGCGTCGATCGGTGTGGACTCCTCGCCGGCTTTGTCTAAGGCGACCTGACCAGCGCAGCCGATGCGGGCAAAAGAGTCAGAGAATGCGTCGCTGATTCTCTTGATGAGCGCGTCCAGTTTCGGCTCCCATTTGCTGCGTACTTCGTTAATGGCGTAGTTGAAATCACCAAGTTGGCCCTCGAAGTCTGAGAGCTTGCTGCGCAGTTTGTTGATTTGACGCTCGCGCTCTTCGAATTCCTTGACCACGTTACTGCTGCCTCCCTGCGTGAGCTCCAACCGAGCCTTTTCTGAATCAATGTCTGCATCCAGTTGTTCGCTGGTGTAGTCTGCCAGCGTTTTGAGGAATTCTCCCAAATCGGGTTGGCGTTTGGAAGCCTTGACAACTGCGCTGGCTTCCTTCATCAACTGTTTGGCCGTTTCCGATGCCGTCTTAAGGTAGGCCATTGCTTCCTTTACTTCGGCCTGTTTCTGTTTCTGGATTGTGCGCTGTTCTTCGTTACGGTGCTCCAAAGTGTCAAAATCGGAAATTGCCTCGATATGTCGGACTCTTGTTGTAAGGTGTTGCTCATGTAACTTGCGAAGTTTCTCGACCGCACGCTATTTTGGTCAGCTCCCGTAGACAGGAGACGTAGAACGCTTCATACGTACAGCGTATTCAATTGTCGCCTCGGCTTTTTTGATCGATAATCGATCTTGTTGATCCCGGATGCCACGCACTCTGGCCTTGACTCCTTCGGAGAAGCTCTCCATATTCTTCAGTTTGGCTTCATATTGACCTACGGAGCGTTAAATGGATGGCATCCGAATAAAGAAGACAGAGGAACAACATACCGATCTTCACAGGAATGGCCCTGAAGTGAGTATGTGCAGTTTGCTTGTCGGATTTCTCACGATCAAGCTCCTCCTATGAAGAAAACGTTAGGTGTCATTATTGCAGGGGAGAAAAAAGAATGAAATACCATTTCGCGCTTAATGTTTCCATGTTCTCTGCCCAACTGGTCAAGTCTCGCTCTACCAGCTTCCGCTTTCTCTTCGAACTGCCGAAGTTCATCTCTCAGAATCTGGATTCTTTGTTGCAATTCATGTTTCGTTGATGCTTCAACTGGTTGAGTCGTCCAGGCTTGCGCCCGTCTCACTTGCCTCGTACGAGTACTCGTTGCACTAGGCCCGTATTCTCGGCGCCGGGAGATTTGATAGCTGTGTTTTCCGGATACCCACGAGGTTATTGTTCCCTCTGCTATCCGATTGTACTCATCATCGTTGATATCACGAAGACCGATAGGTGTTTGATGCAATCGGTTTTCGCTGCAAAGGACAGCAACCACGGGATCTGGACCATTGAGATAGTCCTTTGCCCAGCCGTCGAACCCAAATTGGCGAATCTCCTCATTCGACAAAGAGGGTTGGAAGCGGTCCAGAGGGACAGAGCTGGTCTTAATACTGATATCAGAAAGCTTCATTTCCATGCTCAAATGTTTCTGCAAAGTTCTGAAATCATTACGGTTCTGCGTGGTAAAGGCCAGAAAATCATTCTTTTGCATTAATGACTCGAGGGCATCGGCGTATTTTGGATCTTTTACTGAACATGACACAAGGGGCGGAGCAAAGACTTCTTTTTCGAACTTGTCTTGGTTGTTCAAGAGCCATTTGTAGGCCGTGTACGTGTCGTGCGATAGGGTTTCGAGCTTTGTTTCTTGCCGTCCAGAAACAGAATCAAGGCTTGATAGCTGTCGCTCTGCATGGCTTATACGCGCCTTCCTGTCATTGAGTGCCTCAAAGATTGGCCGCCGCTCGTCTTTGATGCCTTCTCCGCGAGTTATAAGGTTTCGCATTTCCTGTCGTTTCTCTCTCTGTGATAGGGGTCAACTTATGCTCTTACTTATACCCGTATAGTACTCACAATTCTCTCATTGTACCAATCAACGTCGAACTCCACAGGCTCCTCCTCCATCTGACGTTTGAGTTTGTTGATGGATTGATGGACACGGTTCTGCTCCTGCTTGTGCGTAGCAGCAGTCTTCCTTTCAGCCTCGATTTGTCCAGCCAAATCTTTTATCGAGTCTTCACGTTGCTCTATCTTCCTTCCAAGTACCTTGGCCAAATCGTTCGCTTGCTCGATAATTTCTTCCTGATCTTTAACGGCGTTATTCAATGACTTGCAATAGTCCTTCTTCGCATTCAACACCCTGAAGGCTGGCTCTAGTTCTGCTTCGAGCTGCTGGAGCTCTTGCCTGAGGTTCGATGTATTTTCTTTTGCGGCTTCATATTGCTGGTGGTGGTCTTTGTACCGCGTAACAGGTTTCGAGAACTCCATTATGTCGATCTTCCTCTTGATTTCAGCCCTCTGTCGCATCCGTTCAACATCCGCTCTCTGCATTTCTTGTCGGTTTTCGAGGTTTGCAAGCAGGTCCTTATCGGCCTGGTTATCGGTTTGCAACTTCTTCTGCTGAGCCCTCAGCTTCTTCAGATTCTCATGCCATTCAAGCATCTCGGGTCCCGCAGCAGCTCTCTGTGTCGAGTAAAGTAGTTCAATTGGTGTAAGCGCGGCAAATTCCGCTACCTTATCTTGCGGCAGAAATTGGCAGAGGTTGTCGATTTGGATAGCGAACGACTGAGCGAGTTCGTACACCTTGTTGCGACCCACGGGCTTGTCGTTTAGAAAGAAGAAACTCTTGTTGCCATCCCGTTTGATAACCCGACGTACGACTGGATTCCGACGGAAACGGGTCCCTCCTGCAAGCTCAATCTCGATACTGGCTTCTCGACAGCCATGCTTGACGAATTCACCGGGGTCTTTGGCACGTCCTAAGTGCTATACAGCGGAAGCCTCTTATCAGCCATCTGCGATACAAGCAGGGGTATTTCTCGTTCGTACCTGCGGACCCCATCCAAGACCTAAGCATATCGCGCACACCAAGGTACTCTTTCCCGTTCCATTCGGTCCAATAACCATGTTCAATTTCGGGCCAGGGAAGAACTCCGCAGATGTATAGGTAACGAAATCATTAACCTTAATCCGTACAATAGAACCAGGTTTATAACCATCCGCATCAGGCTCACCCTGACTCTGACCACCGTTCAACTGCGTAGCTTGTATCTCGGTAGCCTGCGTAGAAGACTCCGGCCCCTCATCCTCACCCCCGGTATCCGTTTCCCGACCACCGCTTTCATCCCCTGTCTCTTCATTATCACTATCGTATTCCACAGGAAGTTGTAATCGTCGGCGTTTGCTACCAGTCGAAGACTGCGTAGGTGTGGGGGAGGCCTCGTCGGTATCCTCTGACCGCTGTCGGCGGCGAGGGACTGTCGGCAAAGAAGGCATCGTGTTAAGGTAGTCGAGCGGCTGCCCGTTGCAGCGCAGTGCCGGTGCTTCAAAATCGCTTGCCTTTCTGAGATTGCTGTTAATATAGAAACAATCAAATGCATCTACGCGGGAGACGCGACGCGGCTGTTCATATGATGACTAAGAACTTTGATCAATATGAATACTGTTTAAGTAGGCGGTGTTTGGCGGCAGTTTTTTAAACTGCTTTTCGGCGGACAATCGGAAATGCTTGTCTACGTCGGGATTGTTGATTGAGAGATAATTTAAGTAAAGACAATCTTGCAAAATGCCTATCCCCAAGAAAACACAACGTATGGTTCTTGCCGGAGCCGTAACGGCAATCACCATTGCGGGGTCCCTCTACGGAGCCGGGCTCAAGACCAACCAAGAGGTAGCCCAGGTACGATAAATGCCAGGCGAGCCGAGGAATTGCTTGAAACAGAACGATAGGATCCAATTGTTAACACGCTCTCCGCCGCATAGACAGCCCAGAAAAGCCGCGAAATAACCATAGACGAACGGATTGCGGATCTTCGGCAAACACGCCAGAACTTGATGTCGAAGAAGGAGCTCGTTGAAAAACAAGTTCGGGACTTGGACATGCGGATCGAAGACAGAAAGCAAAAGAGCATTGGCGGGCAATCAAAGTAGAGGGATGCCGGCTGCATGATGGTTGACATACAGATTTGAGTAACGGAGGTTAGTTACCGTCCTTGCTCGTGGAGACATAAGCTAAGTCGACACTAGACCACCTCCATGAAACCTAAGACTCGGTCCCCACTACGGCTTCGCGTCTGAATCCATGCGGTTTTCGGATCCGGTAGACGAATGCCAAAGTGCGAGTATTTCAAGAACCGGGGGGCCGCAGGAGCCTGTCCTTAATACAAGACCGGGCACATCATACACCACTTCGGCTTATATGCCAGGGCGAGCAATCGATAGACATTTGCGGGTCCTTTCAGGAGCATGCTATCGACAGTGACCCCGTTTGTGAGTATGCCAGACACAGAGCTACGAGAATCGTTGGCCCAGCCGAATTTGTATAGTATTCGCAAGTGAAATAACGAAAGAATGAATTAGACGGCCAGTGTTTATCTATTTAACATCCAAGTATCTGGGTATAATCTATGTGCAATATGTGAGCCTATATATCAGAAACCCAAATTTCACCAATCTCGTTTATCCTACTTCAGAAAGCCGTTTTCAACACCAACGGACAGCACCTTAAAAAAGAAATTCATCAAAGTCGTAGCGCATTATTCATCCAAGATCCCCCGTGTAAGAGCAGCAAGGCTAGCTTCATATCTCGCCGGATTGTGATCACTCAGCATCCCAGAGCCAAACCTCAGCTCCCCAAACAAAGTCTCAACATCTCGGATGAATTTCAACTGTACTCGCGTTGCTGGTCGTCCAAGCCGAGGCTGGCCGTCATCACCTAGGTTGGGAGTGAAAGCGTCCCGCTGGAGAACCCGCATTGTCTCTACAACGAACACCTCTCCAGGAGGCATGAGTTTGAGGGCGCACATTTCTTCGCGGAGGCCCTTGAGTGTTTGCCATGCCCAAGCGTCTTCTCCAACACCGTCGCCGGCGTGAACCAACATGGGGGCCTCGTTGACGTAAAATTTGTTTACGATGCTCTGTCGCAAGCTTTCCCAGACTCGATATCGTACGTTGGATTTTGCACCGGATGTGTCGCTTTTGAATGCCAGAGAGACGGCGTGCATGTCATGCAGGATACCAAGGGAAAGACTGGGGACGACATCTTGTCCGTTGACGACGGTGGTGATCAACCCGCGAGTTGCACGGCGTAAGAACGGAGACATAACAGCAGGAGGTCCGTATGCGTAAACATGGATGGGACGTCCAGAAGGGAGGAAATAGTATGGCTGTACGTTATATGCGCCGCTTCCGGATGGAAGCATACGCCGCATAACAGATTGGTAAGATGCGGTCACAAATGCCGTTTCAGCCGTTTCACTGACCGGCTCGGATATCATCGTGGCGAGGAGGGCGGCGACGCCACCTCCCAAAGAATGACCGCACATAACCACCCCATAGTCCGGAAACTGCTCCAGAGCAGCCCTGATGGTGATCATGACCCGCCCGCCCCCTCCTTCCAGGAGACGTCTAGCAGACGCGTGCATGCCCTTATGGACCTTCCAGCTCCTTCCCTGCCATAAGAGATCATCATAGTCGCAAGTCATATCGGTTAGGATGTCCTCGAAGCCCCATGTTCCTCGAAGTGTCAGTACAACAGCTTTTGATTCATGGTCCACGCAAAGGAAGTGCACAAGTGGAAAACCAGTGTCTGTTTCACCGGCTGCGTTAGAACCGCCTTCAGGATCAACAAACGACGATAGAAGAATTGTTGATGGTGGTAGCCCTGCGTGGTTTGAGAAATCACTATGCTCTTGACTGTCAGAGCCTGAAGGAGGTGGAAGCGCTTGGGTGTTTTTGCGGACCCCCATTACCTTGAGGGCACTTGATCCGTAAGATGCTAATGAAAACCGACAGAAACGGCGGATATTGGACACGAAATGGCTTTCAGGGAAAATACCAGGGACCATGCCATCACGACTGAGTGCTTGGACTGTCTTCGTATCGTCATATGCGCTATTTTTGGCACGGTGGGCAAGTATAAGCGATGTCTCTGAGCCTGCTGTCGCTAAAGAATATATGCTGGGCGTAATAGTCTTGGGCCGGTGATGAAGAGAAGATGAGCTAGGTCGGCCATCATTGTTGACAGACACAGTCATATCTGCTTCAGATCTTGCCAAAGACAAGGAACTGCTGCTACGCGCATGGTTTCTCATGCCCGCGGCCGATCCTGGACGCTTATCCGCAGGTCGTGCGGAATAGGCATCTGTCTGTGCTATGAATGACTCCTGGTTCTTTTCGCGAACTGAATACTGATCGTTTATTGCACTTCTGCCGCGATTGACCTGCCGTGGCCCTGGAGACGAGGCGGATTTCTTCCCAGGAGAATCATGCAACTGCAACCTTGGTGCGCTTCTGTTTGCAGCAGGCAAAGCCTCTTTATTGACTGACGATTTTCCTTGGCTGGGACCTGACCTAGGAGCCTTTTTAGGCTGGGTCTCAGATGAGCGCACCGTCTTCTCAGATGGCGGTTTCAGAAAGTGTTTTTTGGTGTCATCACTACTGTCAACGGTGGCAGGCTTCATTTTCTGGGCAAGCCTCGTTAACGAGCCTCCAAAACTGTCTTTGGATGCTGCATCCGGACTACTCTGAAATGAATTGTTCGGATTCTTGTGGTGTTGTTTTGGAGCGAGAAATTTGGCTGCCTTCCCTGCAGCAGCAGAGTTACCATGCACGTCCAGTTGAGCTCGGCTAGAGCCAGCATATTGGTTCGCAGGAGTGTCAATCAACGGTTTCCCGTCGTCTAACGATTCATCATGCGCATCACCTATTTCAGGTCTCACATCCGCACTTTGCGACTGATTGAAAGCTGTCCTAAATACAACAGTATGTTTAGGGAAACGCTGGGACTGACCAGTAGAAACTAGGTCTTCAGTATCTTGGTTGTCACGGAATTTTTCCTCAATCATCGTTGTCCCAGGTGGCGGGCTGATCTCTGCATTGTTGTCATCGAAGACATCCACTGTGATAGTTCGCGCTGTGACTAGATCAGTCTTGATGGAGGCGTGGCAACCCCGAGGTAGCTGCTTCATGATGTATAGCCGAATGTCTTCCTCAGAAACCTGGTGCTGGTCTTCTGGCGAAAGAGACAGATGAGGGCTGTCAAGAGTATCAATTATGCTCGAGCGACGCTGTACAGCATCAAACGACCAGTCGTCATCATCGGGGGATATAAATGAGGAATGTCTGGGCTCTGTTTCCGCGCCGCCACTGGACGGGCTGGGGAATTCGATTTGATTCGTGTGGACGACATCTGCTCTCATGCCGTTGTCCAAGATGACTATATCCCACACAGTCTCATCCCCGCCATTATCACGTATATATCGTTCAGTATTCTTCCTCCCCCAGCTCTGTAGTAGGGCGAATCCGACGGAGCCAACGAGAAGATCCCCCACCCCAATTCTTTCGGCATCGGGTCCAGGCACATTGCCTCTGAATTCCCTTCGAATGAGCGTAATTATAGCCGCTATCGCCCTTGAAGATTCCGTTGAACCAAGTATCGCATCGAGGGTGGATAAAAGAGCCTGGGACATATGGGCGACGGACGATAAGGTTGTCGACGACAGGTGGAACGTTGCTGCGGCAAAAAACGACGCTGAAGTAACCGTTGTATGTAGAGTAGCCAACTAAAAATTATATTAGCAAACTTTCAAAAGGGATAATCCTAATTGTATGTACTTACACTCCGCTCAAGCAGCGACTCTGCCTCTGCCTTCCCACGTTCCCCGCCACTCCTAACAGCCACATCTCTTCCGGCCTTGGTCAAAATCCCTTCAATCATAGCGCGACTGAGCTCGAGCCCAGTCAATGTCGTGCTCCGAGCGCCCCTCAGCGCGGCGCCTCCAAAAAAGGTTCCTAACCGAAGGGAAAGCGACGTCGACTGGGTCACGAATGACACCAGGGAGGCAACCGGCCGCGGAAGGAGCGTGGCCGCACCCGAAGTGGCGGGCACATGGCTGGCACCGTCGTCCTGAACCAGATCCCTCGAGTCAGTTTCGAGCGCGACGGGTTCGTTCGTGTCGTTGGATGTCGGTTTTCTTAAGTATGAATAATTAAACATGCCAGTCAAGAGTAACGCAATGGTAATTTAACTCGACGGAAATTGGACATTGAGATACAGGCCTGCCTGTAGTAATAATGTGTAGAATTTCATGAAGTAATTGCGGTAGGCAGCATTGTCCCGGCCAGCCCCTTTTGACGTTGTTGTCAGAAGTTTGTTCAGGTTGAGATCTGGGGTTGGCATGTGATTCTCCGACCCCAACAATTTGCTGAATAATCATGGTCGACACTGCATTTCTGGAAAGAATCTACATAGTGCAAACAGGGATACATTACAGCATGTTTGATTAGTCTACTCTGCGTACCTAATTTTAACTCATCAGCCTGCTGACTATTTCACATGGATACTATTACAACATCGCCATCCGATCACCAGGGTAGTGGACCTTCCGGATCTTGCTTCGATCACATTCCGACAACTCGCTGATCCCTGATAACCCAATACTTTGCCACAAGTCTGCCAGAAGTCCCTTCATCACGGATTGTGCGCCCAATTTCCCTCCAATAGCAAGGCCATAGATCACCGGCCGGCTGACGAGAACAGCCTTGGCCCCGAGACAGAGGGCCTTGATGATGTCGACGCCGGTACGAATGCCGGAGTCGAAGATAACAGTCATTTTGTCGCCGACTACATCAACAATCTCGGGAAGGACATCGAGGGAGCCGATCGCGCCGTCGACTTGGCGGCCTGTGAGTGTGGATATGTGAGCATCACATGCTTGAAGGGTGAAAAGCTTGAATGGTGACATACCGCCATGGTTCGACACAATAATACCATCGCATCCAGCATCAAGGGCTTTCTTCGCGTCCGCCGGATGTTGAATCCCCTTGAGAACCAGGGGTCCATCCCAATGATCCCGCAAGAAAGCTAATTGATCCCATGTGTGAGGCCGGCCGGAGAATACCTGTGATGTCCACGATTTAGATGCCCCGACAATATCGTCCTCTATCTTGCTGCCCGATTCTTTTTCGAATTTCGCGCGGAAAACCGGATCAGAGAAGCCCACTTGGGTTCCAATACCACGAATGAAAGGTACGTAGGCATTATCCAGATCTGCAGGTCGCCAGGCCAGGGAGAATGTGTCCAGAGTGACAACCAAAACCGAGAATCCGTTATCTTTCGCACGCTTTAATAAGGAGAGGGTGATATCATCATCCTCCGGCCAATAAAGCTGAAACCACCTCTTCCCATCACCGTTTGCAGCAGCAACCTCTTCGATCGAACTACTACTCGCGGTGCTGAGGATATACGGTACGCCGGATTTCGCACAAGCTTCGGCGAGACCTGTTTCTTTATCTTCATGGAATAGGCACTGAACACCCACGGGGGCCATGAGGAGTGGATTGTGATGTTCCTGGCCAAAGAGATTCACCGAGACGTTCTCGTGGTCCAACTAACAAGCAGCGCGACTGGGTCAGCGACTGGTGATAGGTGGACGCTTGTGGTCAAGAGGGAACTTACAGCTCTCAACATTCTCGGAATACTGCACGCGTCAATCCATCGGTCAGCAAGCCTATCCTATCTCAAATACCCTGAGAAAACACGTACATCTTCCATTGACGAAATGCAAGCCGGTTGCTATCCATAGTAGCCTTCTCGCCAGCCCCTCCTGCGACATAGCTGAAGGACCTGGCGCCCAATGCCTTGCGCGCCTGATCTTCCAAATGACGAGGATCAGTCGTGACAATGGGCAAACTGCCAGACGTGGCACCTTGACCGTAGATTTCGGCTTGGAAGGATCCGTAATTCTCTGACATGACAATAACAATTGATTTCTCTTCTCTGTTGTTTGAATGGAATGTTAATGAAAACAGTTATGATAGGAGAAGAGATTCTTTCCGGTCATTATTATTGTTAACTTGTTAGCAGATGAGCTATGAATGATATCATCCTCCGTATACTCCGTACTCCGAACTACACGTGACGGCTCCCCGGCTTGCCGGTTTAGATGCGAATCCATAGTACGACCTGGCTATATAAAGGGATTTCTCCCGGTCGAGATCTTGCGTATGGAATACTTTTAGCTTCATTGTATTGTTCATCGCTGCCGTGATGGCAGATAACATGATCGTCCGTACGGGCACGACAACAAATTCTCGGTATGCTGCCACGAAAGGAAAAAGAAGCAAGCGAATAATGTATTGCGAATTGAATCAAATCCACACAAAGTCAAACAAGCGCCATGATCTCGCATTCCAATGAGATCGGGTTGACCATGGCACCTGTCCCTGATATAAACAACTGCTCTGCAAGGGCGATCCTGTCGCCACCGCGTAAGCTAATATCCCATTTATCGATATATCATTGCTCGAGACCTGCTCAGCTGGCTCAGCTCTCCGCTAGCTGCAGCTTATCAACCTCGAATTTGTAATTATTTAGTGGCTGAAGATCTCGCATTTTGTCCGTCGCGATTCACCGGGCACGCCGCTATCGGCCGATTTTGTGCGGGAATTGACTTTAGCGCTTATCTTGAGATAATTTCGCAACCAAGGAATCATGGCAGCCAAAGGCCAATGCTTAATAACTTTGAAGAAACCAAGGTCAAAAAAAAAAAAAAGAAAAAGAAAAAGAACCGGTGGAACTTGACGACTTTCCAACTAGCCATGGAGCAGCACAGAGAGCCCAAGTTGGACGTCGAGTCGCCCCCGCCCCGGGTAGTATGGCGCGATGGGGACGATATTTCGGAGCCCTCGATCGCTCCCGATGAGGCAAAGAGGGAGCAGAAGCTGATTCGCAAAATGGACTTGTATATCCTGCCTTTCGTGGTTTTATTATACTTATTTAGCTTTTTGGATCGAGGTATGCTACTACGCGCACGAAATGAGATTGATATACTAACGTGACCCAGTGAACATTGGAAATGCCCGTCTATACGGTCTCGAGGAAGACCTGGGCTTGGTCGGGGACCAATATCAAGTCGCTGTATCCATTCTATTCGTCACATACTGTGTATGTCTCACCGACCAAACCCAGGATACTAGGAACTAACAGGACATTAGTTGTTCGAAGTGCCTTCAAACCTAGTCATAAAAAAACTCAGACCCTCTCGCTACATCGCTTCAATATCTGTCATCTGGGGCATCATCGCGACTTTAACAGGCATCTGCCAAAGTTACGGCGGCCTGATCGCCTGTCGCGTCCTCTTAGGCGTCGTAGAAGCCGGTCTCTTCCCTGGCATGATGACCTACCTTACCCTTTTCTACAGCAAACGCGAAATTGCCCTGCGCACAGGCTACCTGTTCAGCAGCTCAGCCGCAGCTGGCGCATTTGGCGGTTTACTTGCGTACGGGATTGGATTTATGGACGGCGTCAGTGGCCTCCGCGGCTGGCGCTGGATTATGATCATCGAGGGTATTCCGACGGTTATCATCGGCGTACTGACATGGTTCTTCCTCGCTGACGCGCCAGACACGGCGTACTATTTGAACGAAGAAGAAAGAGCACTTGTCGTCAAGTTCCGTTCGCGATATGCGGGACAGACAGCATCCGCGCAGAAGTTCCACTGGGCGGACGTCAGAGATGGCGTCACAGACTGGAAGATCTACGCTTTTTCCATCGGTCAGTTTGGCGTTGATACCATGCTCTACGGATACAGCACCTTCCTACCCACTATCATCGAAGGAATGGGCCCTTCCTGGTCCACTGCGGAAGTCCAGGCACTCACAATCCCTTGCTACGCGGTAGGCGCCATCGCCTACCTGACAGTAGCATGGCTAAGTGACCGATTTCAACGCCGTGCGATATTCATATGTATCTTCTGTGCGATCTCCATGATCGGATACGGGATCCTCATCTCAGACACATCCTCTGGTGTACACTACTTTGGCGCGTTGCTTGTCGCTCTGGGCCTCTATGTGGCTGTTGGTTTACCGCTTGCTTGGTTGCCGACTAATTTGCCGCGGTATGGCAAGCGGACGTTCGCGACGGGATTACAGCTTACATTTGGTAATGTTAGTGGTGTTATGTCGCCGTTTCTATACAAGAGCAATGAAGCGCCGCGGTATGTTCGGGGAAATGCGGTAACATGTGGTTTGGTGGGCTTTGGAGGGGTTGTGTTTGGCCTTATGTGGGTTTATTATAGCATTGTGAACCAACTAAGGGCCCGTGGCGAAGAGGATGATAAGATTACGGGGATGACAGAAGAGGACATCCAGGAAATGGGAGAGAAAAACCCTCGGTTCGTGTATAGCATTTGATACATTTCCAGAGTCTTCATTATGCGTCTTTATTAGTTCTGATAAAACAAGGGATCCACGGTTAGACATAATTATACCTCATCAATTTCCATCACCACCACTGCCGGCTTGAGCTTAAAGGTATAATCGCTCAGTACTCGGGGTAGAAACCTCCATGGATGAAAAGCTGCAATGACCATATGCTGAACTATCCCGTTCACCAACGCCTTTGCTCTCGCCGAGCAAGTCAGAATGGCTCTTACTTCTTTGGGCCTGATAGGTGCATGCGCTGTCCTCACAAGAGAAGCGGCCCTCTGTAAATGGACTGAATACAATAGGAGTTAAAACTTCTCTATCATCCTCAGAGCCCTTGCCCTTGCTCAATAACTGGGTTTGGCTTTCATTTGCTGGACCCTGCAAGGTCTCTTTGATGGAGCTGTGGTGTCTTGTATCCAGTTCAGATATAGACTGAGCCGCAGCTCCTCCATCATCTGTCTCACTGCCCCTGTCCGCATCGTCGATGCGGGGCGCTGAGGTCTCACCCCACATGACAGGCTTGAGGGCATGATCATCGTCACCAGGCGGGGGGTGACACGCAGCGCTAATCGCTGCACTGCAACTGACAGCAAGAGGCATATTGGTTCTGAAATGCTTAAGACCCATCCCTAGAATCGTGCACACCATCACAAACCCAAGAAGTATGGCGACCATAAGTGCGATTGGTGAATAACCACATGCAATCAGACGTTCTGTGGTAAGCCTCCCGGCCATGTCATACAACACGACTTCCACGAAAAAGAAGCTCTGGGACACAAGCCAGTGTAGTATTGTGTTGCAGATCATCAGTGGGATACTGTATCGGTATGGAAGACTGAGGTAATAAGTCGAGCGCTGGAGCCCCTTTGCCCAGGAGACGCGCAGTGGCTTGCGTTCTATGGCGTAATCATTGTACTCGGCGGCAAGAAGCATGGCGGTTAACATGTTGTTGTAGAGAAAATATGCACTTGAAAGAATGATTTGCGGGATATTTGCAAGGAGGGCTATGGATATAGTCCCCGAGCAATTGCTAGGATTGTCGCAAAACTTGATTATTGAAGATGAGGCGATGCTGCCAAAACCCAGCTTCCAGAGCTCTGCAGGCTTAATAGATTGGCCTTTAGCTCTTAACGTCATGACGCTCAAGTAAAAGAGAAAGCATGACACTAAGAGGAGAAGAAGGCAGCTGTACAGATCAGAAGTGCTTATCAAGAAGTGGCCAGTGTATGTACCTACAATAAGATTATCACCGCGAAGTATAGACTGCCCACAGCGTCTTTCCATCGTTTTTTATCGGGCTGAAGTTTCGCAGGCTTGGATGATCGTGTCCATGAATCCCGACCCATTGAAACAAGTTCCTTTGGCAACAAACAGTTGCCCTCAGTGGTTGTGTCGGGTCTGCTGAGGAAGGACGATACGGCGTCCCCAACTGTGAGAAAAACCTCCTTTCTAGTGTCACGAGCTGTCATGAACATGCAGACAATCTTGATGGCGTTGCATAGGATGATGACGATGCATATTGGAAGACTAAATAGTAGATGACATTCCTCTTCGACTTTTTGACTTAAGCAATAGTCGACCGAGAGCGCGGAGAGTGAGTCAGCCCTAACTGAGTCCAACGCACATGTAGCTGCCGTATTCTCTATCGCAGCATCTTTCGTCCAAGAACTGTTTGTCCAGTAACTTGTATTACCAAGCAATAACGGGTCTGACCATGGTATCGAGGAAACGGACCAATTGCCAAGACAAGACTTGTCGCAATCACTCCTTTTACACGCCCTTTGGCATGGGTATTTTTCACAGTTTCTTTCACCTGACAAATCATCGTGGATGAACTGAGGATAGTTTGGCTCACTCTGGCACATCCACAAAAAAGAATACGACGAGTACCGTTGGGGCGAATTTCCCATGCTGACCCAGCGCAAGGAGTTATTGTCCGCAGTCATATCATTAGTAACCAGAATGAGAGTTCCTCGATCTACAATGTAGTCGGAAGCATAGGTATCGATGCATTTCTGTGTATCGAGTCTTTCGAAGTTTGGTACCTCAGAATAGAAAGTGGACATGTTCATCGAAATATTCTGTTCAAAGCAACCTGCATGGTCATGATTTGGTGGGTTGTTGAAGTCAAAGTTCGCGGATGCAAGCAGGACGCCATATTCGCGTGTACCCAGGGCAGAAAACACAGTAGAATTGTACCTGCACTTATGGTTAGATATTAATTGCGAGAGAGAAGTCGAATACTGACAATAAATGAATCGGGAGAGAAGACAACAATAGCACTATCCATAACACAACTCTCCTCCGGTCAACAAAACGGAAATTCTTTATGCTGGACACACCAATGTTAAGCCATTTTCGCTGGGCGTGGGCACCTTCAATGTCCTGGCGAGATGGCGAACATAGACACTGCATACAGTAATTACTCGCTGCCAGCATGATTGTGCCGAGAATATTAATCAACAAATGCAAGCCGCGCGCCCAGTTCCCTGAAATGGAGCACTTTCCCTGGTAAAGTATGGAAGAGCTAAAGTCCCGACCTCCAAACTTCTGATAAGACATGGAAACAGCGATGATGGTGAGAACGATGTTCAAGAACAAGACAGCGGAGACAGAAAAAGCGCTAATGAGGACGCCCACAGCCCATTCCCGTTGTTGACTCCTTTCCTGTTCGACCCTCCGGTCTATTCTGTTGACAAACCCTTGAGGCAAGCAGGAGACAAACTTAGAAGTCAGGGATGTGCTAGGTTTGTTGGAATCCGAAGAACGACACGTCCTACATCCAGTTAGTCACAGCAGTTCCAACCTGCTCAGTTAGATCGAATGCCAACCGGCCCAACTCATATTCCTGAATATCTGTTCTGCCTTTTGAACGGTGTAGTAGGTGACCATGTCTGGCACTATCAAATGGCCAGTACCAATGCTGTTTAATAGAGTCTGACGGTGAGGGTGACTCGCCCATGGTGCGTGTTTGTTTTCAATTCCCACAAGCTCGAAAATTATGAAGCTGCGTCTCAGACTAGTGCTGGCGCCGCGAGGCTCTTAAATACCATAGACTCAACTATACAATAAGGTTCTTCTTGGCAGACTCCAAGTAAACATAAGGAATCCGAGCAACGAGGCTGTCAGCCTTGCGCTGCGGGACGGAATGTGCTAGCCTTTCAGCTCTTCTTCTACTTGCCTGAAGCGACAAGGATCTGCTGTTGGGGTGATCGGATTGGTTTAGACATTGTGTGCTTTGCTTCTTGGCATTCGATATACGGAATATTCAGCCAGTCCAGTCGGAAATTATATGTGGCGGTAAGGAGTACACGGGTTGTTCCTGACGAGTAATGGATGAGTTCTTCCGGAAGATGCACCAGGAGTAATTGTATGTGAAGAGAGCGGGTAGTTCAGGGATCAGGGAATCGGGCAGTCAATTATCTGGATTGCACGAAGCTATAGATGGAAAGTTTTTAATTACACAAAAGAGTGATATGATAGGCTATACCCACCATGATAATAGAATAAGTGCTTAGCCATCTAAAGTGTATGGCTATGATGTTCCTATATGAGGAATCTGTCGGCCTCGGTAATCGTGCCGACTGTTAATCCATCTTGACTTCATCAGTATGAATGAGGGTCACATGATTATACCAATTTGTTTTTGGTTTTGAAATAGGTTCCGTCGGAGGTTCAGGGGAAACCGGAGGAGTCGATCATCCGACTGCACGAGGCCTATATGTAGAAGAGCCAATTGAAACGAATGGTTGATATACTCTATCTAATGTAGCCTAGAGTACACGAGTGCTTGAGTGCTTGATGAGTGCTTGTCTATCTATATGTGGCGAACGCTGGCCATATATCGGAGGTTCGCTAGTCGGATTAACGTTATCACTTTAATTCGACTTATCAGATCTCATCAGGTTAGCGTGCCAAGTCACATGTATCAACCGGCTTAACGAAGTTAGCAAAAGATCCATAGCCAAAATTGCGACTTGTAGATGAATTTTATATCAGAAAGAAGGATGCCAGTCGTCGGTTGTATATAGATTCCTGAATGTTTTCTCTTCTGACCTTCATCATCCCTTTTTTTCGTGGCGTTTCTTGTGTCTTTTATTACGGCTTGCTGCCATCCCCAGTATTTCAGTTCCTGACATCCTATAATTAGCATCCAATTCCACCACATTATGCGAGCTGGAATACGTGGCTTCATCCTTCTCGTGTTATCTCAGAGGGCAGCGGAGTATTGCGGAGGCGAGGATGGAATATCCATCACCATTTGGGCGGGAATGGGCCATAAATTGAAATGATTGACGGTGAAGAATCCAGGTCGAGAGGAATTCATCCACCCGAGGGCTGTACTGTTGGCCAGATACATATGGTATGTTCGTTTATGTCGTTGGTCTCTAGGGATGATGCCACTAACCGTGTTGCAGATTGCACGCTATGCAGAAAGATATCCCACGACATCGGCAGGAGATCGTAGGTTGATACCTTTGCCACCCCTTTGTGAACAGAGAGCTGTCTCAAACAATCAACAATCTAACTTGATATATATGATTTGAAGGTCATCTTGCTCTTATGAAACGTATCGAAGAGGTAAACGTACCTCTGAACGGCTCCCTGTCGTTCCTCAACAATTGGACCTATTTTGCCAACGACTCATCCAAGGACTTCGATCAATTGACCAACACGGGTCCCTATGCTGGCACGCTTCAAGCCTTTACCACTGGTGTCCGTTTTCGGACCCGCTATGGACATCCCTTACCGAACAACATTAAGGCAAGGCTTTGGGCCAGTGACTCAAACCGTGTTATCCAGACTGCCAAGTATTTCCCTTCGGGGCTTTTGACCTGGTGGGAAAAGGACGGGGATGCTCTATTGCAAATTATTCTAGAAGCTTTTGAACAACGTGCAGATACACTAACACCTGGTGATACATGCCTGAATTATGTTGAGGATAATTTACAGGGTCATGACAATGGGGAGAACATGCTGGCATTATTCCAGAAAGCATATATCCCGCCAATTGCAAAACGACTGGTTCAAGAAGAACAGAATGGAGATCTCGGGATGCTCACCCCCGCTGAAGTATATAGCGTGCAAGAAATGTGCGGGTTTGAGATAACTGTTCGAGGATCGAGTCCTTGGTGTGGTGTTTTCACTGATGAAGAATGGTAGAGCTTCGCATATGCTCGTGATGTGCTCCATTACTATCGCGCAGGTCTTGGAAATCCTTATTCCAGCATGATGGGATGGCTTTGGTTGAACGCGACAACAATTCTTTTGCGTTCGGGTCCTAATGCTGGCTCTATGTTCTTTAGCTTGTGAGTATATTCCCTTCTGCTTCCATACTGGTAGACGGATAAGCTCCTTAAGCGTCCACGATGGCGACATAGCCCCATTCCTTACTGCTTTAGATACCTTTCAGGACTCGAAATACGATCCAAACCTCCCAACCACCCACGTTGCAAATGACCGCGTTTGGCGTACGTCCTCTGTCCTGCCAATGGGTGCTCGAATAACCTTGGCACGGATGACTTGTCCATCACCTTCTTTGGACAAGGAAGACACCTTTGTCCGCATCAACATTAAATGACAGGATTAAGCCATTGTCCTGCTGCAAATCTGAGCCTGATGCTTCTTGTCCATTGTCAGAATTTGCCAGTCATGTACGTCGTCGAGGAATGGAAGCAGGAGAGTTCGGTGAGGTTTGTGGTCTGGAAGGTGATGCTGGACGGGTTACCTTCTTACACCAGGAGAATATCGATAAATTGTCTGTAAATAGCTAGTATATATAACAGGATCTAAACAGTGAATACCAGAGGTGACTGGACCAAAACTGGTTTGATTACCAGATTCGGTGTGGCTACCGCCCGCGGGTGGTGAATGCCAGGGACAAACGCTTTATCCCGTATTTTTCTGAGAATTCTATTTATTACTTTACTCAGCCTATACATATTTCACTCGCATTGAACGCAATATCAACTGCAACAAATCCGTATCCTTCAGATCTATGCGTTCCTAAGGCATCCTCGGCTAAACCCTAACGGACATCCATCCGACCAACACCTTGCAACCCACAACCAGCCGAAAAAACACCACGGCAATCCCAATCCAAACAAAAATTAAAACAAGAGACAAGAATAAACCTAGTCTCGTAGCAGTCATAATTCCATAGAGTGTAGTAAACTCCCTGTCCCATACTCCTCTGGGGCGCCAGTAGCAGCTTAGCGAGCGCTTCCGTTTTCGCCGCTCCCCACACAAATCGACTTTCTGTCGGGGAGCCGAGAGATGCGCATCATCAGCAAGTAACGACTTCAACCTCCTCCCTCTCTTCCTCCCACCCCAAGAACTTTTTTTTATATTCTTTTAGATCTCCTCCTCGATTCCGACGGTTTTATTTGTGTACGTATTATTTCCACCTATTTTGCCGGTGGTGGTGTAGTGGTGGCTCCCGTTCCTCCCCTCCCCTCTTCTGCGGGCGCATGAAGGACTCCCGCACCGCACATTTAATAATCGAATTCGGGCCTTTGAGGGGACTTTTCAACGTTGACCAAACGGTTTGAATGCGTTATTGACGGTTTTCTTTTTTCCTTCAGAAAAACCCCGAATCCCAAGTCGTCACAATGGATCAAGCGAAGTTGTCTCGGATGCAAGCTAGCGTGCGGATTGGTATGTGTTCTTGGTTGTTGGATTCTCTGGTTGTGCGATTTCGCGCGGCTTTAAATTGCTATCTAAAGATCTTGATAATGGCTAACATTTTATATTATCTTGAATAGGGTATGTATTCAAGCGTTTTCAATGCTATTCCTCTTTCCCGAAGACCTATGACCGTCAACCACGAAACCACTCGAACACCTGAAATCCCAGCGACCCACAAAACAAAACAATCGACTAACGATCCAACAGAGGCAAGGGTACTCCCCGCCGCAAGGTCAAGAAGGTCCACAAGAACTCCGGTGCCGACGACAAGAAGCTCCAGGCCACCCTCAAGAAGATGAACGTCCAGCCCATCCAGGCCATCGAGGAGGTCAACATGTTCAAGGAGGACGGCAACGTTATTCACTTCGGTGCTCCCAGAGGTGGGTCTCTAATACATGAATTGTGTGAATTGGATGCTGATGGATAATATAAAGTCCACGCCTCCGTCCCCTCCAACACCTTCGCCCTCTACGGTAACGGCGAGGAGAAGGAACTCACCGAGCTTGTCCCCGGTATCCTGAACCAGCTTGGCCCCGACAGCCTCGCTTCGCTCCGCAAGCTCGCCGAGAGCTACCAGAACATGCAGAAGAACCAGGCCGGTGGTGAGGGCAAGAAGGACGACGAGGAGGATGATATCCCCGATTTGGTTGAGGGTGAGAACTTCGAGAGCAATGTTGAGTAAAAAGGATATAACGAAACGAAAAAATGAGAGAAGAGAGATCATATCTTAATGCAGCATGAAAGTCGAAAAAGCACATCCGGATAAGAGGAGAGGGATATTTTTTTCTCATGTTGAACATGATATATTTTTCGTTTTTACTTCCTTTGCCCGTTTTGACAATGACATATGACCCAGTTCAGCGAATAAATCATAACAGTCACGGCTTATGATTGGCATTTCAAGGTTATTGAGTTCTTCTCGGTTGCAAGTGTACGACTTTCTATGTTTGGATGTACTAGGGAACGAATTGGACCATACGATGCAATGAAGGATGGGACTGAGCGTATGAGTAACAGCTAACGCCAATGCAAATCTCGAATCCCTGAACAACCTATTATGCATGCAATTAAATAGTAAACAACCCGCTTCGCAACCTCAAAGAAGAATAGAGAAATCCAACACTGAAGAAGTCGGCATAAAAAAAAAAAGTGATGTTGTCATACATATTCCAAGGGTATCTGCTGTTCTCGAATATGATGAACCAACGAGCCTAGCATTTCTGTTCTTCTCTTGATTCAATGCGAGGTATAACCCAGCTTCATGATTCTTCCTTCAGTCCACACATGTCCGTCCCAATGAGCAAGTCAACCGTGTACCAAAAACGCCAGTACACGTTGGAATTGTCGTAATCAAATGTTCCGTCTTCGCGAAGCAGAGGCCCGTCGCCAACGATATCACCTGTAAACCAGCTGAGGATCGGGATCGATCGGACGACGCGCTCGGTAACCGTGGGTTGAGGAGGAAGGGCTTCAGTCAACGGTCGAAGTTTCGTCCGACGCACTGTCGGGATGTGTGTCATAAATTCTGATTCTGGTTTAGGTTCTTGGGGTTGAGGCTGAGGTTGGGGTTGGGGTTGAGGTTGAAATTGTTGTCGTTGGTGGAGGGTAGGCGTAGCAGGTTGCTCGAAACCGGTTGCCGTGGCTGAGCTTGCGGTATTGGTCGAGGAAATTTGCGACTCGTCGTCTTCATTGTCGAGAGCGTTAGAAAAGTTGTTCACTGCGAAAGATCGCGGCAAGGTATGTCGTTCGTTGACCTGATTCTGCAGGAAGTTCGTCGAATGAGAAGTAGTCAAGGTTCGTGAAGCTTTACGGCCTGCTGCTGCAGACTCCTTCGGAATAGGAATGTCCTCTGTCGGCCCTGACCCATGGTACAATTCACAGTGAACAAGATGGCCGTCAATCTCCTGTGGCGAGAAGAAGCAAGCACGGTCCGCTGCGTTCGTAGAATCGAACGTGATCTTAATCCAGTGAAAGCCTCCTGCATATCGCTTCGACTTGCGGTTCGCATCGGCAGACAAATTCGCACGAATAACCACATCACCACCACTCAACATCTGAGAGTATCCAGAAGAGTTGGGATCACTGCGTGGATAGTCCTCGCAAATCAAGCCTCGCGAAATCCTCTCGTATTTATCAATCACCTTCCACTCCGAATCCTTGCTTCTGTATCCGTAGAGTATGCATTCTGTCGCGACTTTTTCTGTCTTATTGTCGAGATTCGATGCGGACGACGACTTGGGCAAGGTGTGGTGAGTCTTTTCCTCATCCTGTTGTTGTGCGAACAGCCGTCCAAACTCTGCAACGTTGACGTTCTCTTTCTTCGCTGGTGTCCCGGTACGTGTCCGTGATCGTGCGGTTTCGTAGCGGGCATTTCTCCTTCGTCCGAACGGTCCAGTCTCCTCAGGTGGTCGTCGGGGGTTGCGGGATTCGCTGTCGTCAGAATCCATGTTAATGATATTCGCGTGAAATCATAGGCGCTGGCTCGGACACCAAACAACTGAATATATGGGGGGTGGGATAAAGAAAAACATACTCTTTGTAAACATAGCCCCAGGGCAGAATGTTTCCCTTTTCGTCCCGCGCGCGCTCCTCAGGCGGAACAAAGTGATACTCCATGGTCAGGGTAGTGTTACAGAACTGTTTTGAGAAGATAATCTGTCTCTTTAAAATATTACAAGAGAGCTAGAGAGCCCGAGAGGCTGGGGTATTAAGGGGTTGGCACGGTGAATCAGTGCAGATCGTGTTGGAGCTTGCCTTGTCAGAGCAAGAATGAATCGAAACTTTTGCGGCGATAAACAGTGCGTTAGCCGGGATACGATCACGTGACTTCCACTCGAGCATGACATTTCGGGCACCTATGCAAAATTGGCTACGCTCTTTTCCATGCAATGAATTTGCTTGTCAAATAGTTCATATTCCAAAAGTATCGTGGTAGACTATTGATTAAATATCAATCGACACATATCTCCAAACATAGACGTAGGTAAGTATCAAAGACGTGAGTCATGATAGAATCACGATTGGGATTTCTCCTCAATCTGCTTCTCAGTCCATTCCCAAAGTTTCTTACCCAGTTCCTCATCAGATGCATACTGTGTCTTGGCATGCACCCCAATCGGCACGTAGTAACCCCCATTAATTAAGTCCTCCCTCTTCACACCAGCAGCAAACAGCTGATTCATCGCCCCGGTTCGTACACTCCGGAAACCAAGCGACATAGCTGCAAGAGCAGATCTAGTGAACGTGTTCGATGCCTTAGCATGCTCATATAGATTGCTGGACACGGCGCCTGGGTGGACTGCGACAGACAGGATCTCTGGATACCGGCGCGCAAGTTCCGCCGCAAAGAGAATGTTGGCTGCCTTGGACGCACCGTAGCGAGTCCAAGTGCTTGCGTCTAAAAGAGCAGGAGTGGATGTCATGACATCAAACGACGGAGCGGCGCTGTGGCCCACGGAACTCAACGTCACGACTCTAACATCTGGCGCGGGATTGGCACTCGCGACGGTCTTCTGCAACGTGGGCAAAAGCAGCTTGGTGAGCAGGAAATGGCCGACATGGTTTGTTCCAAACTGCACCTCGAACCCTTCCTCCGTGGTATCCGGGGGATTTCCCATCGTCCCTGCATTCAGCATCAGGATATCCAATCGATCACTGTCCGAGCTGAAATTTTCTGCAGCCATGCGGATGGATTTAAACGAGGCCAAATCGAGAGGGATGTGTCTGATGTCCACGGGGACGGGGACGGTTTCTTGGATCGAGGTGATGGCATCTTGCGCTTTTGTCGCGTTGCGGGCGCCTAGGTATATACGGGATGGATTGTGCTTGGCGAGTTGGATAATGGCCTCTTTTCCAAGGCCAATGTTACCTATCCGAAGAATAATGGCGTCAGTAGATGGGCAGGTAGAACTTCAGGGAGGAGAAACTTACCCCCAGTAACAAAAATAACCTTCCCAGTAAGATCACCAATATCCTTCTGTGGATCAAACGACGACCCCAAGGCACCGAAAGTAAGTTCGTTCAGTGTAGGTCCAACGCTAGAGAAAAAATCCCTAGGATGACGAAGACTATAGGACGCGAAACCGAAGACAGGACTCATTGCGCCGGGCATTTGCGAAGACCTCGATAGATAACAGATATACCAAAAAGGGTCAAGATAGGAGATATGCAGTTCAACGGCACATTGTCAGGATAGCACAGCAGATATAAGAAGCAGAAGCATAAATGACCGAAGCATATCGCCGACGTGAAGAAAGCTAAAGCGATCTGCCAGGGGGATCTCCACCGCAGAACGAGCAAATGATATTCGAACCCGATGTCGTGCAGTCGGCCATCTCTGTTCAAGGATGAGCGTTCAGTAGTATTGTTCCAAAGTCTGCCGGAGTCAAAGGGTTCGCGCAGAGCAGAGAAGCATGGGTGAGAATCATATGATCGGCGCCAAGAGGTTTTCTGCTGACTTCCCAAAAAGGTTAGTGGGGGGGTCGTGATAGCACTGCGACACAGCTGTATCTTGGGGATACGCGCTGATAGTCAATGGGGCTAGTTCTCGTGTTAGAGTGATACAAAGATAAGGGAGATACCTGCTACGCGAGTCAGTGGCAAGAGGGAAAGATCCATTTATACCCATACCGTCGGAACACCACCTACCAATATCAGCCGCCAAAGCACCGAAGCAAGATGAAGTTTCTCTGTCTCCATGGTGCTGGCACCAATGATGAGGTACGGCCTATTATAGGGCTAATTCACATTTTACATCAAGTACTAATGAATTGATAGATATTTGACCTCCAATCTGGTATGCGCCATGCAATGCCTGTAAACAAAGACCCCAATTCAAAATGCAAACCTAACCTCTAAACCAGGCGGAATACGCCACTCCCTAGAAGAAAATGGCCACACATTCAGATTCATCAATGGGCGAATCCCATCTGACCCCGAGCCTGGTACATCACTCCCCCTCTCCCACTGTCCAACCCTAAACATATCTAACATTCACAGAAATCGCAAGCATCATGGACGGCCCCTTCTACATGCACTACACAGCAAAAGCACCCCCGGGCTCTACTCTCTCCACAGCCATCCAATACACCCTCTCTATAATCGAAAAAGAAGGCCCCTTCGACGCCGTAATGGGTTTTTCGCAAGGTGCAGCCCTCGCCTGCTCTCTGCTAATCAACCACTCCCAAACCTATCCCAATGAAAACCCGCTGTTCAAGATGGCCGTGTTCATCTGCAGCGCGATGACATGGGATGTGAGTAATGGGTTGGAAGCTTTGCAACCGACTCCTGGGAAGTATCCCGTGAGAATCCCGACGGTGCATATTGTCGGGAAGCAGGATCCGTTGTATGCGGAGGGGAAGAGGATGTATGGGTTGTGTGAGCCTGGGAAGGCGGTGTTTTATGATCATGGGTCGAGGCATATGATTCCGTTTGATTTGACGAATACGGAGAGGATGGCGGGGATTGTGGAGGAGATGGTTAATCAGGTAGAGGGTCTATAGACAATTTCTTTTTCTGGATATAGATTGCCATTGGGGGATGTTTGGTAGTATATGCGAATACTGGTTAAATACACCAAAGAGTTATGCAGTGAAATGAAGCGTCCATGTTCCATTCGTAACTTCCCAGGTCTGTAGATGGCATATCCAGAAAGTGATGTATTTAATTCTGCCGTTTCTTTGAAACCTCCGGCTTACCAGAGCTAAGCTTAGCCATGAAAATCGCTAATAGTAGAATAACTATACCCAGAATAAAACTGTACGTTATCAACGGTGTCTCTGCCATATTTCCCGTCCGCATATCGCCAGGACCATCGAGTCACAGTCCCGCGCTCTCGCCACTGCCTTCAGCAGGGAGAACCTTTCCAAGGAACTGCTCGAGGTCTTCAATCTCCGCCGGATCAGCAGAGTGAGGAAGGTCACTGCAATCAGGTTAGCCACAATCCCACCAACAAACAACAATCCGGGGAAATCTCACGGGTAAGAACGGAAGCTGACATCCTCCATCCCCAACTCCTTCATCGCCTTAGCAGACATCTCACCAAATGAATGCGGCACAATATCATCATCAAGGCCGTGCGCAAGGAAGAACGGAGTCTTCTTATTCGGCCAGTCCTCTGCGACATAGTTTTTAATCCGGTCACTCAGAAGTAAGTAGCAAGAAAGACCGAAAACACCACCCAGCTTCTCCTTGTTCGTAATGCCTGAGAAAACGGACATGGCACCTCCCTGCGAGAAACCACCGAGGACGATCCGCGAGGGCTTGATGCCGTTGTCGACCTGCTCTTTGATCAGGGTGTTGAAGTATTCGCGAGAACGCAAGATGCCGGGCTCGTCTTGGGTGCGGATGGATTCTTCGAAGTCGAGCTGTAGATAACACAGTCAGTATCAGCACCACAATACAATGATATAGCAAAGGGCCTCACATCACGACCAAGCTTGCTAAGATCATACCATCCCGGCATGCTCATACCAAAATTCTATCCCCGATTATTCGTTAACCCAGCGTGCTCTCCACTTAACCAGCAAACCGAGTCTACAAACATACCACTGTGATAGGAATCATGGGCGCATTAGGGAAAATGAAAGCAACTTCATCAAACATGCCACGACGGCGCCAGTTCTGGGCGAGGGACATCCTGTATAGTTTGACGTAAAGTATGAGCATCGCTATTCCATTGGACCGCGTTCGTCGATGTAGACGAGACAAACGTACCATCCAGCGCCACTATTCGAAGAAAAGAGCCGGTCAGCGAAGATCCTTCGAGATCTCTATACAGAAAATGAAAAACCAACCTATCACCCAAACCATGGGCCATAATCACCGTCGCGGTGTGCTTCTTGAGCGCGGGAACGACATAAGGGGCGCGAGGTGGCATTTTCGCTTCTCAATTTGGTTCTGAGTTTGACTTCAAAGCGTGATAATGAAGAACAAAGAAAGGAAGAAAGAAGACGAAATAATTTGTCTAGAAGAATGGCATATTAAGTAGAAGAGGTGCCTGGATTTCCCCCACGATTCTGCCGCCGAGGTTGTAATCTGCAGTCTCGCCGCCTTCTATATTAGGACAACACCAATGAAGTAGGAAAATGCATTTCGCATTTTTTGAGACGTTAGACCCCTGGGATGACTTGATTTTTGACCAGGTATAAAGGAGGTATGATGCTGTCGAAGTGTTGGTCACCATGCTTCGCGACTATGGCATTAGATCCCAAAGGGGATAATATACAAGCCGCTTAAGATAAGCATTCTATAGCAGAACATCACTGTGCAAGTTCATGCACCTCTTTCTCAGTCGTATCAATAACATTCGAAATCAATCCCTCCTCAATGACCCCTGTTTGCCACGAGAATGCCAAAACCAAACATCCATCACCACCCGAAATGACCGAGATCTCAATAGCGCATCCCGTAACACTAGCAGACTGAGAGAATACCATACGGCCAACCTGCGGTTTCAAAGGATCATCATTTGATTTGAGGCCGGGTGCAAAGATACCTATGTTTGACAATTCGAAACTGGACCCTCGTTGCTTTCCTATCTTGGATAGGAACAGCTCTTGCCGGATGTCGTTGACATATTTGAGGAGGTTTGGTGAAGCGTTCGTGCCCTGGAGGCTTAAGGTGTGTTCTATTGTCCTTCGAGATCGCTGGGCTTCGCTCCAAGGAAAGGAATCTACCAAGACGCTGTCGCGTGAATAATATTCATTGTAATCCTGTATCCAGACACCTATCGAATCATCGGTGACAATGTCAGGGAGGAATTTCCGGGAAGAGAGGGGACCATCGCATTTGATCATCGTGAAGGTATCGGGTAGGTGTATGAAGAAAGCACGGGAGACGATTGTCTGCAAAGCCCCGGTTATGGTGGTATTATTTCGACGACAAGCATGTCTGAAAGATGTTGCAAGTGACTTGGAAATGACAATGTGGCGCATCTGCGTCTCAAGTGGGACACGAATCTCTGATCCTGTCCATAGTCCCGGATCCCTCCAAGACCAAACTTTCGCTTTGAACAAAGTGATAGCAAGGTATGGGATGGTGAGGGTCATCGGATGGATCTCTTCGATGTTCGGGAGAAGTGGCATCACAGGCGATGGAATTACTCGCCGCGTTTCCGCTGGCGATTCAGTAGCCGCATGTAACGCCTCTAGGAACGTCTTGTGAAAAGCCTTTCCAGAAGTACCATCGCCAACTGCATGATGGAATATAAAAACTGCTGTAAAACGGCGCTCATTCCCCGCATCAAGCAAAACACAAACCCTCCAATACTGAAGCGGCGGAGAAAATGGCGTATTATGCTGGATATTGATCAATTTCTCTAGTTCATTGTCTTTCTCATATTCACCTGGAAAAGATTGACTGCGATTTCGGAAAGACACTGAACGCTCCAGGTCGATCTCCGGAAGACGTGCCCAATAAGGCTCCTTCGTATCTTCACCAATAGGGATGGCAGAAAGAATCGGATGCTGGTCAATTGCTGCCTCGCATGCTCTGTAAACATAGTCTTCTACCGAAAGAGATGACCCAGGAAGTGTATATGTTGCAGCTACTGCAACATTGTAGTAGAACCCGAGGGGGTTACGCGCGGTGGAGTATTGCTCCAATCGACCTGATACCGTCAGTCGGGACAATAGGAAAGCAGTATCCAGTTGCTACTCACCAACAGGCCGCAATTTTTCAAGCTGATTTATATCCATATTAACATCGAATGTGCAAAGTATGGATGTGGGGGAAGCCAACTGCACAGCAGCGGAAGGAAGATAATATATATATGCATAAAACACGTGACTCACCAAGACCAGAATATAGTACGAGAAGAAATACATTATACCCTAATCTATTTACATGGTATGAACAGCTTAATACAACCATCATATCTCGTACAGCATAACTTTTGTCTTACCCACCGTCTATACAAAATACTCCGGAGAGAATAAACTAGATCACAGTACCGCCATACCACCAGCAACCGCCACGCCAAGCATACCCCAAGCAGCAGTCTGCAAAGCAACAGCACCGCCTGTCGATGTCGAGGCCGAATCCGAGTCCGAGGTGGAAGAGCCACCGCTCTGTGCGCCGCCATTGGCAGTAGACTCGTTGGCGTTGCGTTGTGCAGCTTCTCCGGTGAAAGGTGCGGCGGCGACGTTGGTGTTATTCTTACAGGATGAGTCGGGGTAATCGGTGCTAGAAGAGAATTGGATGTCCGCACACTGATATTCTTAGCATGCTGGTCTTGAGATTGGTCGAAAGGACAGTTGAGACATACCGCATAAAGGCCCCCGGTAGGATCACCATTACTCTGAACTTGCACAGTCGCATTCATGCCATCTGTGACATTGACACCCAATGTGTCCTCATGAAAAGCGACATGTGGGATACAAAGCGAGCCCAATCCCCGCGCGCCAAAAGTTGGCACCAAAGTAACATTGAAGTTGGTACCGGGGTCATTGCCCAGAGACAATAACACTTCGAAAGCAGTCTGCGTGTGACCCATCGTCACGGCCACAGGGAAGAAACCATCCGAGATTGAGACCTTGGTACGTTCAGACGACTGAGCTAGGCCGCCGCAGGGGAAGGTGGTCATCTTGTCCTCATTTTCACCACGGGGTGTTGGGTAATCGAGTTTGAAGTGAGCGGCCGCTAGGGGCGTGAGGGCTGTGAGGGAGAGAATGGAGAGCTTCATGGTTGCAGTGGTAAACAAGGATTTCGTGGAAGCCCCGGATACGGTGTGTGAGGAAATATGTAGGATACAGAGTAGGAACAGGGAAAGAAGGAGAAAGCCGGGAAGGTCTTTTAGCTCTTTATTACATTATCGCAAAGCTCTAGCTCTAGCTCTAACCGGGTAATGTCCCCGAACAAAAGACCATAGAACGATAATTGCATGACACTATCCCCGCAGCCCTACTATGATACATGGACCCTGCATCTACAATGGATTCCAAACTCCATACTGAATAAGAGAAAACGCCCCAAAGCGTTAGAGTTACTCCGGAATAATCAAATGAAGTTCAAAAATGCGCTCAATCATGCGCAGATCCACTCATTCCGATGGAGCTTCCTGCACCAATTGCGGAGATTCGGTGGAAGCCGGATAGCTGACTTTCGCGAGGACATGTCCGTTTTGGGATGGGCGAACCGACCGTCCGACAGAGCCGGTTGCCTAATATAATGAAAGAATAACGGATTGACAGGTTCATGGAATGAGTTTCGGCACATGTGTTGATCTAGGGTTCTTTGACGCTGATCGATATCAACTCAGTTCAGACATGAAATGTCTCTTCAACAAGTATAGTCTTGCTGAAGCGGCGAGATTGCAATGTACGTATCAAAGTATATACATTATGTCGCAGATATGCTATATGTGCAAGATAACAGTTACCGAAACAGCTAAATCCATCATTTGCTGCGTCTGACTCAGAACGCCCTATCCAGAACTCCAACAATACCCGCAAATTTGTATGCAAAAGAAACCGAATCAATGGTCGTGCTCGCTCCATTGTATATATCGACCCACGGCTAGTTCTCCCAGAAAAGTACCTCCAAGCACGGAGCAGAAGTATCCCACGTTCATTGTCATGACAGCCAACATCCTAGAAGCATGTGTCAGCAAACATCCCTTGCGTGTACATTCTTAGAATCAACCGCATACAGTAAATAAGACACTCCAGTAATACACAGGTAAATCAATGCCCGGGGCAAGTCTACGCTGAACCTCCAAGGTAACGGTTCTTTTGTTATGCGACGCACCACCTTGACCGTTTCTTCCACGCCCTGAGGAGTCACCAAAGAAGCAGACTTTGCGTCGGGATCAGAGTCGATACGTCCAGCTTCGGGAGACTTTCCTTGGACAGCGACATAACGGCGGTTGAAGTGAACAGCTGCCCATCGTTGTTCCAGGATGGCTTTAAATGCGATGAGACACCGTCCGATGATGGCGAGGATAATAAGGAAGATGCAGGTTCCGGCATAGGTGCCGCTGGAGGAGGGCGTCCAGGCATTGGAGAAAAGAGGGGTGTCGTGATTGTTAACAAAGACCATGGCCATGGACATTGACGAGGAAGAAGATGAGGAATGGTCCATGCCGGACATGCCGGACACGCCAGACATGTCGCTGCTTCCCATATCCATGTCCATTTTGGGTAGAGGAATCGATGTAAAGAAAGTGATATATGGGAGTAATCGAGATGGACTGTAGAGGGAGAGGGAGATGAGAAGGAAACAAAAAAGCCATGACGACGCGGTTTTAGGGCCATTATGAACCCGGAAATACTGGCAGCGACGCTAGAGCACATTTCTGGAGTCTGGGCGGGGTGGGTGAGCAGATTTCCTGCCCGCGCGCCAATCATGCTCCCCTAGACCCGCTGGAGGTCCGCCCTCAGACCCGCCAAGACCCATACTAAACCCTGAGCGGATTCTGAGAATAATACGTTGTGTACCGTATTCATAATTAGTCCACTGCGTCATTTCATGATCTCTTTCTCTCTTTTTCCATCTTCTCTCTGTTACGACGAGAAAGACATACATACAAAATATCCATGTCCATGTCAATGGGAGGCATGGGAGGCATGTCCGGCATGGGTCATATGTCCATGGGTACCGGCGTGCCAGACCCTTTCTATCTCCAGAAAATGTACTGGGCAGTGGTAGGAAGTGCTATAGGAGCTGCTGCTGTTGTCAATTTGTTTAATTGGTTTCTGGCTCACCAGAGGTAGGAGCTAGCATTCTCCGGAAAAGTATACTGGCTAACAACTACAGAATGCGAGATTCGACCTATACTCCCGCTGAACCCAAATCCCTATTCTTCGTATTTTGTGCCACTGTCACAGCATTGGTGCGTGAAGCAAGCTATGTGGCTCTGCCTCCTTTATCTCTCAAAGGCCGGACCGTTCACTTTGCTCCTTTGGGACCAGTTGCCATTATTCTTGCCAACATAGTCACGCTTATGGTGCTTTGTTTTGACAAACTGGACACAAAAGACCAATGGAAATGGGAAGACGTGGGCTACCGCACGGGATTCATCACGATTGCGCAATTGCCATTGGTCTTTCTGCTAGCAGGAAGACAAAATATCATTGGATATCTGGCTGGCATGGGCTACGAACGACTCAATTGGTTCCATCGATGGGTTTCACGTACTTTGTGGCTGACGGCCACGATCCATATGGGCTTTTGGTTCCGTGACTGGGGCCAATATGACTACATTACATACCAACTGAAGAACAATGCTCTGGCGAAGCGTGGATTTGCGGCATGGATCATTTTGAGTTTCATCGTCATCTCATCCGCCGCCCCTGTGCGGAAGATAAGCTATGAAATTTTCGTCTTGCAGCATCTGATCATCTTTGTGGGTTTCATAGTTGCAGTATGGCTGCATGCTCCAAATGAGGTTAAAGTATGGGTGTGGATCTCTATTGGACTGTTGATCTTCGATCGCGTTGCACGATATGCATGGGCTACCTACGCTAATCTGTCGATCTTCCACCGTTCGGCCAACCCCAAACATCCACTCTGGGTAAATCACGCCTCATTCACACCGTTGCCGGGGAATGTGACTCGTATCAAGATTGAGAACCCTGGTATTAGCTGGAGGCCGGGTCAACATGTCTTCCTCACCTGCCACTCTGTTGTGCCGCTGCAGTGCCACCCATTCACTATTGTCTCCTTACCCGAGGACAAAAAGATGGAATTCTTCGTTCGCGCAGCAAAGGGCGGCACGAGACGTTTTTTCCACTACGCAACCAAGAACCATCAAATTCTTGGTTCTGGCGAGACATCTCCACAGAAAGGGAAGCGCACCGTATTCATCGACGGTCCATACGGAATGCACAGGCCACTCCGCCAATTCGACTCCGTCGTTTTACTAGCAGGAGGCATGGGTGCGACATTCATAATTCCCTGTCTCAGGGATATTGTGACGGCATGGAAAGGAGAGTCGCAGCAACCGGGTTCCAAAACACGACGGGCCGTGACCAAACGGATCCGATTCGTATGGGTGATCAAATCACGCGCTCATCTGAGCTGGTTTGATTTACAGTTGCAGAGAGCGCTTGCAGCGGTCGATGAGTGCCGATGCAGCCAGCCGGACCTCATGAGAGAAATAGAAATGAGCATTTACATCACATGTGATGAGGCGCTAGAGCCCTCTACAATAGACCGGACCATATGTTCACAAGCTCAAACCGCCACCCCCTCTATTGCTGAAACGCATGACGAAAAGGGGGCAACATCCCAAAAAGACAACGTCAAAGTCCAACCGGTCTCTAGCTCATCCTCTAACAAACCGGCGACAAGCTGCCTCCCAAGCGGCGGCTGCTGCTGTACGAACCGCGTCGAAAACGAAGATGAAATCACCGAACAGCACCGCTGCACCTGTTCTGGGCATGCAGCTGTTCCTGCCAGTCCCGTAATTGAAAACAATACTGACGAGAAAACTGCATCCGAAGCACCACCCATGCAAAACACCATCCCCATATTCTCCGGTCGCCCACAACCACGAACTATCATCCGTAAAGTCTTGGAAAAAGCTGAAGGCGAGAGTGCAGTGGTAGTCTGTGGACCACGGGGACTATCTGATGACGTTCGTCGGAGTGTGGTGTCTCTTAGTGACGAACGGGCTGTGCATAAAGGGACCGGTGCTCAGGGTATTTATCTGCATGTTGAGAGTTTCAGATGGTAAAAGTTGAGTTTTGATTGCTGCATATACCTGGCGCTGTGTATTTGGTTATTGTGCATGTAATATTCATGAGAATCATATAAACTGGTGTTTATGGTGAATTTAATTCGTTAAAAGATTACTACCTCATTTATCCAAACAAAAGATATTATAGCGATGAGAGAGTACTCGAAATGAAATGCTTTCTTACATGGTAAGAAGCACTCACTTTACAATCAAGGATATTTTCTCTCCCAGCATATGGACATTGCTAACTGGTGATATCCCCCTGTTCGCAAAATACACGCCCTTGACCATCTCAGTCTGGCAGAGAACAACGCCGCATAGTTTGCAAATCACATCCCTGGGTTACCGTATGCCCGAGATTTTGATGTTACCAACTTAACCCAACCATCCATGCTTTGACTATGATAGTATTGTATGAGGCTTCTTGATTCCAAGAAAATAGGCAAAATTGGACATAGGGCAGTGACAGTTCACGCCTCAGGCAGTAATACCAGTCATCGTGACTGTGCATGTAACACCCGAAGAACCAGTTCGATGAATAAAGCAGCTCCGTTGGTTTGAACCTAGCCATTGCATACCAGTCTGGAAGCTTCTAATCTAAAGCTGCTTGTTGGTTGATACAGGTACTGCACGACCGATATTACCCGAGGCGATGATGTAATAGGTCAACTCACCTCCAACCTCACCTCTGCCTCTGCCTCTTGACTGTTACTTCGACTATCCATCAACCACACCACCACAATACTACCAGACCAATTCTAAGCAATTTCTCTATACAAACAGTCAAGATGTTCCGCTTTGTACGTCTTCCCATGTCCCCCCTCCCCCCTCCCCCCAATTCATTTACCCAATGCCCTCCAGCATCACCACAACCCCTCCAAACCACCTTGGACCAACTGTACTAATAAATACAGCTCCAGCCCAAATCCCTTCCCCCGATAACCCTCTTCCACAACCCCACCCTAACCTCCTCTGCCCACGCCCTCACAATCCTTAAGCAAGCCTCCACCACCGCCTCCGAAACAGCCACCGAAGACCAAGCCTCCGACTACTCCAACCACGCCAAAAACCAGCAGGCCGAGTTCCAGTTGGAAGTTACCGAGAGTCCGCCCACGAATGACCAGTTGAGGAGTATTCTGGATTACGTTGCGGATAATGGGGTTGGGAAGAAGAAGACGTATGTGCCGGGGGAGATTGTGAAGGGGGCGAGGGATGCGGAGGATGCGTTGCTGAGGTTTAAGGAGGATAAGGAGAGGTTTGTCAGGCCGATTGTAGGTTCCACCCACCTTTTTTTTTTTTTACGGAATTAGGATGTATGCTAATGGTGATAGACTGTTGACTGGAACGGTGGACGTGCTATTATCGGTGAGGACGAGTCTGAGATTCTCAGTATGCTGCGCCAGGTTGGCCAGTCAGACGTCGACTAAACCCCTTCATGATCGATCTATCGTGTTTCATAAATACTCTGTTGGATAATTCGATTTACTGGATCTATCATACCAGTTTATGTATCATACACAATATCAATGCACTCAACTCCTGACCATGACCTCCTGACACTGAACGCATAAGGTGAAACATGCATCGAATTAGAATGTACTCGCTCAAAAAAGAAATTGGAATGAAAACATGAGATAATCTTGTCATGGTCAAACGAGATCCCGCTCGGTGCCAGAAGAAAAGACCGAAAGAAAAGAAAATAATAGAGGTAATGCCTAAAACATTGTTCCAAATGATCCATCCGTTGGAATTGGTTTTCGAGATGAACCTCGCCCTGCGCCTTCAATGGCCGGTTTTCGATGACTGCACATTTAATTAGTATAACAGCCAAAAAAAAAAAAAAAAAAAAAAACATATAGCAAAGAACGTACCGGAATGTAAACCCAACAAACAACCCCTTGCTCATCTTGTCCTCTCGCTCTGCCATATCCTCCAGTGCTCGTTGCTTGTCATGAACCTCCTTGTACTTGGCCATGTCGGCTTCACTGGAGAAATCGTCAAAGTATCCAGCATCGGTCTCCGAATCCAGCTCGGGCACAAACGGCGGGCGTTGCTCGCGAAGACGTGTAAAGTCGACCTCGTGAAAGTAGTCATGTGCATGGATCTCATGGATATTCTTGAATCGATAGTCCTTGGACGCCACCAGCTTGGTGATGAAATCCCATGTTCGTCGTGAAAGGAAGTAATTCGGGTCCTCGTACACCGGCTTCCGTAGCACCTTTTGCCATCGCTTAAGGTTTTGCCAGGTCTCTTCCACTGTTGCGCCAGCGAAGGGCGGATACCCTGCCAATGCCTCAAAGAGCATGCATCCTAGACTCCAGTAGTCCACTGTGAAATCATACTGGTCTCCCTTCAGAACTTCCGGTGCCATATAGTCAGGCGACCCGACAATTGATTTGGCGTAGTTGACCTGACGCTCACGCAACGAGCGATATCCTTGACGTCGTTCCGCCGCGGTTCTCTGCTCCATCGGTCGGCCGAAAGGGACTGGTGTGTTGCCCACTTCTTCCAGTTTCACGCGCATCGATTCAATTTTTCCTGGATTCAGCATTCCGGCTGCTAATCCAAAGTCCGTCAACTTCACATGGCCCGTAGAGTCAATGAGGAAGTTCTCTGGCTTGAGGTCACGATGGATGTATCCTAATGCGTGCAACGCATCGATACAGCTGAACATTTCGGCCACGTAGAATCGAGCATGGCGATTATGCAAGACACCGGCGTTGTTCAGTAATGTTCGAAAATCTCCTCCTGGTACGTATTCCATCGCAAGGTAGATCTGATCCTCATCTTGGAAAGCATAAAGCAGCCTCACCAACCAGTCACTTTTTGCCGCTGTCAGAATATCACGCTCTGTAAGGATATGCCGGATTTCGTCTAGCTTGAAGAGTAACTTCTTGCTCATCACTTTGAGCGCGCACACCTCCCGCGTGTCCTTCTTTTGCGCCAAATAGACCTGGCCATAGCCACCCTGGCCGACCTGCGTCAGGATTTGAAAATCGTGCTGGCGGAGACGTGTACGACGCTTGCGCAGATGAGCGCGCTCGCGACCGAGATATTTGCGGAGTGCGGGCTCGTATTCTTCGATCGGGGTATCGGGCGGGTCGGGATACGCGGCTCGGAATTGGGACTGACGGTTCCCACGGTTATGGACGTAGCTAAGGAGGTCAAAGTAATGGTCGAGGAAGTCTGGTACGGTGGATCAACTGTCAGTCCATATGATCTCGGGAAGGGGTGTATAAACCAAACATACAAAGTTGAGTCACGTTGACTAATCGCTTCACGCGTGGGTTCTGCAGCTTCTCTAATTCTTCCGGAGTCAATCCACGCATCTGAACCTGACGCCTTCCGATGGGATCGTCTCGTGGTTGCTGGTAAGGTTCATGGCGAGAGAGGGCGGCGGCGGCAGGATTGCGACCAAAGCTCTTCTGCGGCAACCGAGACGGCGCAGCATTCTCTTTGTCTTGGGATCTGGGGGCAGGATTGCTCGAGGGCTGATGGATAACACTTTCGCTGAAATCCTCCATGGAGCTCTTAGCCTTGGGCGGGGAGAACATGGGATGGTTGTAATGGTTGTAGGTAGCCTTGGTGGGAGACGACTTGGTGGGGGACGGCGGCGCAAGCTTCATAGCCTTTTCAAAGACATTGGGTAAATCGAGCGAGCCCGGGGGCATTTTGTTTTTGCTGGGACTGCCCTGAGGTGTCTGCGCCGGACTCGTGAAGCCATTTCCTGAAGGTGTGGAGGGACGGTCATAAGGTTCGTGGCGGGTGTGTAGCAATGGAGGAGGCTCAGGAAACCGCAGACCATGGCGCTCTGCGGTTTCGCGAGCGATATCAACGGGCATGATTGAGGTTGTGACTTTTTCTTTGTTCTTTCCTGTCACTCTTGTAACTTCGAGGTTTCTTCACGTGATAAACCGAGATGGCCCCTTGATAAGGGCGCGCAATAATCGCAACCGATCTCGATGCGGATCGCTAATTGGTATGATAGGTAGAATAATCGAGACAAATCGCAAGAAAAAGAATCTCAAATACGACAGAAGGTGAAAAGAAAAAAAGGAACTCAAAAAAAAAAAAATAAAATAAAATAGAAGTCGCAGGATGAAGGGATACGGAGGAATGAGAGAGGGAGGGGCGAGAAGTGAGAGAGCGAGGAGGCGGCGAAATGGCAGCTGTGGTTGGTCAATCACCACCGGCCAATATTAGACTGAAGCCAAACACACGCAATTTGGGCGCAAAGGGAGGGGGGGGAAGAGAGAAGAATGTCTTTGTGGGAGACAAATAAGAAGGAAAATGAAAAAAAAAAAAAAAAAAAAAAAA